CTCCCCGCGCTCCAATTCCCCCCATTCCCTGCAACGCTAGGAGCGCACCGGCTCCCCCCCTCCTCTCTCCTCCCTTCCTCTTCCCATCCATTGACCTGACCGCTCCCGCGGCTCGATTCGATAGTCTCCGCGCGACGGTCCCCGATTCTTTTCAGGTACCCAGTCAGTGGGTACCCCACGGCGAGCAGCCATCCACCGGCGCCCTTCTTTCATCTCCCACTGCAAAAACCTGCCATTAACATAGCCGCCAGCCGCCAGTGCATTGACAAACGCGGGGAGGGCGAGAGGAGTGAGAGGGGCAGGCAGGGAAATGGTGTCAATCAGCTTGAAGCAATGCATTCAAAATGTGCGCGACCCCAGGGGGAGGGAGGGGGAGGCGGAGACCCTGTGACCCTTCGCCTACATATGGCAGCTCTTCCTGTCGCGCCCAATAACCGTCTCGTCTCAGCTGCCAATGCCACATGTGTGGCGAGTCATCGGGAGGTCGGTTCGAAAGCAGAGCGCGGCTTCGAAACGTGTCCGACTTGAGAGCTACAGCTGCTTGTCTGGAGCGGGAGGGTGAGTCGGCACGGGGGGTGTGGCAGGCTGCTCGAGGACTACACACGAGACGGGGCGGAGACTAGCGGAGACATTGTCTAGGGGAGATAAGATAAGCGTGACCGACTCCATGACGTCCGGAATGCCATGATGGAGGAGTTGAGTTACGAGGAAAGACTACACGGTGACACCTGAATCGAGTGTGGGGCAACTCTCTGGCGGGCTCTTCTCAAACGAGACGGCACGACCTTCTGGATGAAGGAATAGCCCGTTTTGTTCTTCCGTAAAGAGAAAAGGAACAGAGCACTTAACACCATAAGCGCGAGTGACGTGTCTGTTTGAAGGTTTGAATCAGCGCCTTTTCACGCTTTTACACTGCAGCCAACTGCTGAATTGTGAAGGCCTTCCTTTTCCTTCGTGTAGTTTTGGAACGGAGCGGGATAGTTGCGCCAAAGCCATGCTAAGCTAAAGTTTTCTCTAATGCTAAAATGAAAAACCCCTATTTACTTTGTGAAAGCAACGGTGACAATTAATTTTAAAGTCTAGAACGTGTTTCCTCCTGTTGTGCGGACACCCTGCTGATATTTGACAACCACGATTACCACGAACACTTTGCCATCTTAGAATTTTGACTATACTGTAGTTTTTCCTCACGAAAATGGCCAAAAGTAGCGACGATGAACAGGAATGGTATGTTTTGTCTCTGCATGATGTGTTTTGAGAAACATTTGCTAGATCTTCACCATCCAAAGTGAAATGACAAAGTGCTTCTGTTCTCGTTTCGTCTGCTATTAACCTTTCAGTGGTGTTCCTAACCTATGGAAATATCCATCTGTGCTAAGTTTTATTTCTTTTTCCTTTCATTTTTTCTACCATTAACAGTATTACTAGTCCGCAACTCATGTGCATGTTGTTATAACTGTGTGCATTTCGTATTTCTGGACTGGTGCGCCGTATGTTTACCTTCATCTCAAGGTACTCCCTTAACAATATTTTTTTTCAATTTCTGTTTCAGGATGGATGACTTAGAGGCCTCTGTATTAATGAATGATGCCAAAACACCCAGTGACGTACTTCGAATTTGCAAAGGAAAGCCTATCAATGAAAATCTACGACCTATTGCCTGGCAGAAGTGTCTAGATGTGGGCCGCAGTGCTTTCCATGCTCCCCTGAGTGAAATATTTGACTTACCTGAACAGAAATTACTTCGCCAAGACTGTCAACAATTTGTTGGTAAGTTCAGTATCTTTTACCCTATTATTGGTGTTAAAAGTTGTTTGTATTTTCTGAAAAAATGTTTTTCAATTTCAGCAAAACTTGGCAATGATGACGAAGACAAAGTATCTGTTATGTCTGATCTTGAAACCATATTGACAACGTATCGTAAAATTAGTAATATTTCTTATGAAAGTGGCAATGGTTGGCTGGAGCTATTACTGCCATTACTTGCCCTTAAAAAGCCTCAAAATGAAACTTATTCCCTCTTTGCTGCTCTGCGGACTTTATACATTCCAAACGGCTGTGGCCATAAAAGCGGAGATCCTTTTCACCTATTTAGACTTCTGTTATTATATCATGATCCGGAACTCTGCTCTTTCCTGGATACTAAAAAAATTACTCCAGATTTATATTGCCGATCATGGGTAATTAGAACTTCACCCTGTCACCTTCCTTAAAATCGTCCCTTTTTCATTGGCCAAAGTTTTAGATTTGTTTTTCTTCTGTATTACAGTTCCAGACTTTGTTTGCAGCCAACTGCAATCTAACAGTGGTGCAGGCTATGTGGGACGTTTACTTCCAGCATGCAGAACCATTCTATTTATTTTTCCTTTCATTAGTGATGGTGATTAATGCAAAGTAAGAACTTTTTCACTTTTTATTGGGCATATGGCATATTCATCTCCTGTTGTGTTTTGATCAATTTTATATGTGCCTCTTAGGGAACAAATTATGAGCTTGGAAAACAGCAGTAAAGAAGTCCTAGTTGAAATGGTGTGTAACATGCCCAGTCAACTTGAGCTTGATGATGTCCCTGACTTTTGTGCTCTGGCTCACTATTATGGACTGAAAACGCCATCATCTTTCCGAAAGGTAAAAAGATTATATTTTTATTAGGAGAGAATGTAGATAAAATGAAATTTGTGCTCTTTTAAATATCAATCTAAATCTGTTGTACGATTTTCTTGTGATAGGATCTACTTGATAAAATGTTCGGGGATGAGGCTCTTCACAATATATTACACGGAACCATGAAAAATAGTTCTAGTTCATCCACTCTTACATCACCAGTGGAAGACAGAGATATTAACCTCCCGCAGCCTCTTTCTCAAGCTCTTTGCCTTCCTGTGTGTGCTGCTGAACTAGTAGATTCTGTCTCTTCTTCTGCATCGGGAGCTCCAATGACAGATCAAGCTGACGGGCTCATTGTGGAGACGGTCCGTTTCTTTTTAGTTGACTGCCGGCCTGCTGAGCAATACAACTCAGGACATCTTCCCACTGCTTTCCATCTTGACTCCACTTTAGTGAGTCCCCTATCTTATTTTACCCTCTCTAGATTCTACAGAAGTAAGATAAATTTTATTTTGATGAAATAATTTATATCTTATAACACATTTTCAGATGCTTCAGGAACCTGCAGCTTTTGCAACTGCAGTTCAGGGGTTATTGTCTGCCAGACGACAAGCACAAGCTGCCGGTTCTGCTGCCGCTGGTGACCATTTGTGCTTCTTAGGGTCAGGTCGCAATGAAGAGGACCAATATACCCATATGGTTGTCTCTTCCTTCCTACAAAAACAGAAGCAAAATGTTAGTATGTTAACTGGGGGATACAAAGGTAAATTTTACCATTTTAGTGAGTTTTCTTTCTTATTTTTGTTTCCCAAAGCTGTCTAATGTTTGTGGATTTTTATAATGGTTTATGTTTTGTTTTACTTATTGCAGCTGTCCATGAATATCTTGGAGATTCTTTAAGCGAAAATTTAGAGCATCACAACTTTAGCAGCTGTTTGGTGTGCAAGGCAAACACTATTCAACCTTTGGAGTCACCACAAGCACAAACTCCAACTGTGGATATTTTTAGCAAACTAAGGTAAGATCCAAAACTATGATAAGATCTCTTGTTATGCATCTGGCAATAGGTGAGCAAACTTTAGAACAAAATGATTTTGCAGCGCTGCTGTTTCCAAACTTAAAACTTCAGAAGTCAAAGGGAAATTGTTGGATTACATTGTAAATCCCGCTGGGAGCTCAGGCAAGCCGCCAGTTGAGAGGCATGTCCGCGCGACTGACAGGCTGGGCCGCCGGTACCGAAATGTTGCACCAGTGTTTAGCATTGATGATGACCAGGAACCATTTGGTAAAAAAATTATTATTTGCTCAAGATTATGCTTCTTGAATTAATATCTAGTCTGTAAGTCTACTTTTATATTACAGAGACTGCCGGTGCTGGTGGAAATGAGGAAAATGGTACTGATGAAGAAGGACAGCGGGAAATCATAAACATTAGCCAATGGAGCAAGGAGAATTCAGTGACGGCTACATTCCCTTGCCAAGAGTACAAAGTGAACAATATGTTTTATGATAGGTAAGCTAGTTAATCATACTACAAGTACCATATGGGTAAAGGGTCTTCTTAAATGTAACAAATATCACAAACTTCATTGTTTATTGCAGTGTTTTGGCATTGTCGGAATCCTACATGTATGTGCTTCGCCTCGTACCTGGTCGTAAAGGTCATGCACAGATTGTAGCAAGAAGGTCTCTTTCTTCAGTTGTTAAGATAACCTCTCGCAGGAAACATCCTAACATGATTACATTCAAGTATGGAGTATCCCAGGATGATGACCTTGTCATTTCAGATATGGATAGGTAAGCAATTAAAACGAAACCTTTTTGTTCTTAAACCTTTACCCTCTTTGACGTTTTTTTTAAATTGTTTCTTTTTCTTTGGACAGGCTGTTGATTCCCAACTCAACAGAAGCCATGAAAACAGTGACCAAGCAAATTGTAAACTATTTGAAAACTCAAGAAGGTTAGTCATTTTGAATAAGCTAGTAGTCAGTATTGCTTTCCTATTAAAGCCCTATCCCAAAATAAAATAGAAACCTTGTTGTTCTTTTTTTCCTCTTTTGTGATTTTAGTTTCTAATGTTATGCAATGGGTTTCCATTTTAAAAGAAATTATATAATAATTGACATGTTATGTTGTGTAAGAGTTATAGAAATTATTTTACTTCCCTTGAGATTTAGTTGTTACTGAACTTTACTTACCTTTTATTAAAGTATCCTGAACTTCCATGCCTTATAATTTTGTTGTTGCCTCATTAATATCTTGTACACTGTAGGTCATGATTTTTGTGTGCCTTTATCTGTGTTCACTGTGATGAGGCACCTATTTATTGAATCTGTTTTGAGGCAATTTTTCTCCATTTCATAAGTCATAAATTTCACCAGTAGATGACTGACTGTGACTGCTTATGATTTCAATCTGAACTTGCCTATCTGTACCATACCAACCACTTGCTGACAAGAATTTTTTTGTGCCATGAAGGGTGACATTTTCTCATCTCTAGGCAATTTGTTAATTATAACTTTTAATTATTTTTTTTCCTGTTGAATGCCTTGTGTTGCATCTGTTATTATTGTATTATGTTGTATTCTTTATTTTGTTTTCAAAATATCTTTGTGGTATTTGTGTTACCAGAAAGACACACAGTCTGTTCACTTACTTTCTCCCCATACATCACGCTTAAATCATTGTTCATGTTCTTCATTTGTTGTTCGTACCTCTCTAATGTATGGGACACATTATGTTCTGATTTGAGTAATTCCAATGTCAAGTAGTCCAAATGTATTTTTCCAATTTAAGGAAGTTTAAAAGCTTCATCAATTTTTTAAAACATTGGAAACATTTGGAGTTTCCTGTTTTTGTTTCCCTGATTATATTTTGGTTATTTAGTAACTATTGAGTTCAAAAATTGGTGTTAAAGTAATTCAAATTAGTAAATATTTTTGGTGCCTGTAAGAAAAATTGTGGATTGTAATAGTTACTATTGTAGAGTATAAGAAAGACTGTTTGACTTTGTGAGGAGGGGAAACAAACACGAAGAGGGGCCTCACTCACCATAAGAACTGATTGCTGAATAAGATCAGTTTTGATTGGTTTTGTACGAAGAGCCCTCTTATGATACATAGGGTAACTAATTTGTTGGGAGGGAGAAAAGTGAAAATTTCACAGTAGTCTCCTGACAAGTTTGCAGGTGCTATATTTTCTTAACCAAATAACTGTCCACTTGTTTTGAAAGAGAAATATTTTGTGGTCATGTTTATAGTTTGCATCTTTCAAGAGCACATTTCCAAAATGTATTGGGTCTAATTAATAGATAAGTTCTCAGAGGATGCAACTGTTGTTAAAGATAGGTTTCCTAGACTGAAAATTTGTAGTAATTCTGATAGATACATTATGCACTTAAGTAGATTTTACTGAAAGGCCCTGTTGTGTGGTGGCCAATATCAATTTTCACAGGGTTTTAATTTCCTGAATTGCCTAATATGCTCTCTGCCTTGTTCTTCTTCCTCTGTAAACAGACGAACTTCATGTTATCTTCCTTCCTCTTTTGCTTTTCATGGACCCTCTTCTCCCTTTTAATGCTGTCCCCCTATTCAACATACCTTACAACAGTTATGAGGTTTAGGGACTGATACATTGTAGTATTATTTATTTATTTTATAAAATTTGAGAAATTAGTTGTGTTTGTGGCAATGAATTGTTGTATGTGGTGAATATTTATTATATCTTTGCTGTCCGATTGTTTTTTACTCCAAGGCAAGGAGATGCACTCCATCATGTTACTATTGTTTAATTCGATTGCAATCTCTAAAAAGCAAACAAACTTGGAGGTGACATAGCAACATATGGGAAAGCATTGTTTCAGTACCGTAGTATTTGTTGAAGATTCTTTCTCAAACAGTGTCAAAATAATTTTTTTTATTATTCAAATCAGAATGGTCAAAATACAGTAGCAATCTTTTCATTTGGTTTCTTGTTTGTGCCTCTGGGTTACTTTATTTTTATTATCGTCTTGTACTTAATTGGACAGAAAACTGTTAGTTCTAATTTTTAACTTACCAGTTCTTCATAACTGGATACTGTTACACTGTAGCCTCATGACTACCTCCTTTCCACGGCATTTCCACTTTGTGTTATTTTTGTTTCCCTCATTTTAGTTTTATGCCATACAGACCACATAGTTTTGAGAACCAATGGTTTTTACCTGTCTTGTGATTTTTGAGAATTATATGTTCGCTTGTTGATTCGATTTCCGGCTTTGTTTTACTTTGGGTCTTGACTCGTCGCCGCCCGGCAGCTATCCGCCCAACTAGCACGGGTGCGCGCGTGGTGCCTACCGCCCAGGCGCCGGCCGCTCCGCTCGCCACACGGCCACGGCCACACATCCCGCACCTGAGGCGGCTCCTACCATCCGCGTACCATATCTGTTTCGATGCGGCGAGGTAGCGACACAGTTGTAGCTACAACCGACTCTGGCAACTTTATCAGAACCGACTGGAGAAATAAGCCCGCTCGGCGTTGTAAATGCTCACGCCCCTCTCCCCCACCCACCTGGTCGGAAAGAAATAAAATGAAAATGGGGGAGAACTTCCCTCATCCCACTGCAGTCTTGGCGACTTTTGAGTTCTAACGGGGATCATCCGCTTCCAACCGCAGTGGTCAAAACATACTCCCGGGGTTTGTGAGACGGTTGACGCGTACATTGGTTGAACTGTACTGACCCACCCGGACCCACCACAGATCATGGAGCTCCTTTAAAGCCAGATTCACATGTCTTATTAGTGCACCCACCACCACAGCAAGGTGCCAGGCACCAGGAAACTCCCACGGCCCGTTTTCGCCGTGAGTCGAACCCCGGCCCAGAGCCGAATCATTTGCCACCTTCGACGTAGTTCAACCAGGACGGGAACCACTTCGCCGCCGTCTGATCTCCACGAGGGGGACGTGGTGAAATTACGGGTCCATTTGACACATGGTGGCCTGAGGAAAATTTCAGATCGAGGGCGGGTGCGCCGCCGACTGAGCCATAGAGGCGAGATACAAGCTGACGCCCCAGGGGACGATCCATTCTACGACGCTGTCGCTGACTGTTTAAAAAAAAAAAATAAGTGTGAAGAAATATTTTATTTGGTCACACAAAATTTATCTATCAATCTACTATGGGTTTGAAGTGCTAGGAACAACATATCAAAATATGGCGATAACATTTTTGGGGGGTTCCTTTAGTGAGAGGTGAGAGGTGAGCCGGGACAGCGACAGCTTAGAATGGCTTCTGCTTGGAGACGTTAGTCTGCCTGACCCCGCATCTTCCTGACACCGCAAGGGTCTTTTAGGTCGCTCCCAATTGGCAGTCGCAGCGAGCGGGTTGACAGCGGCGGCGTTGTGGTTGGCAGTCGGATTGACGATGTCGCCGCGACGCCTGGCTGCGGTTTGTGTTCGGAGAGATTTCGAGGATGACACCGTTGAGCTTGCACGCGCACCGCTCGCCCTCCGCCGTCTCTCCCCGCCCGCTCTCCGCACGGAGGCACGGAGGCAGGCACACTCCCGAGGGGAACGCCGAAAGCCCCAAAGGCAGAGAGTACGTCCGTCATTCGTCGTTCCGGACCTGCCAAGTTTAACCTCCGCGAGAACTCACAGCGCCTGTTAGGTAGGCAACATCGTGTGCGCAGTGCACGCGTGTACTGCGGGGTGGCCTACCCCGAGTCTCACAGGCGCTGAGCTCCCGTAATTTGCCAAATGCGCCTGAGGAAAATGGACGTACTTTCTGGACGATACCGAAGTCGTGTCAAAATATTTTAGACAACGGTACTAATGACATCTCGTGGGGAAGGCGTCTATGATACGACACTATCCTGTCCTACTCTAGTTCTGTGTACCCTGTGGCCCTGTGTGAAGGATGACTGTCAAAGCGACGTATACAGTCATCGTTTCGATATCCCAATTCTTATTAAGAATGCGTCGTCCATCGCGCCTCACCTCAGTGAGTTGGAGGAGGCATCTGATCCCACACGCGACTATGCGCGACCGAGTGGTCGCGGCCCTACCCTACCTCGGGGAGGCCGATGACGAGACGAGCCTCGCTCCAGAGCGCACCCGTCCCGTTGAGCCCTCCGTGTCGTCAGCTCAGCTCCGCTCGACCGCGCAGCCCGCGCAGCTGGCGCGTGGAAGCGTCTGCCCTCCCCCGCACCTGCCGAAGCATCTGTCGCGTGCACCATCTCCCGCGCCCGATCAAAATAATTCGACTCCGCTGTGGAGGGACAAGTGTGCGAATCGTCCTGCGCACTACTTCTTCTTCTTCTATCCCATGCTGCGCAGGCAGCCGCCGCCAAGGCCGAGGTGGTGCTGACGGGACGAGCTGCTGCTCTGGACTGGATGTCTGGCGGGGCGGCGGCGAAGCTGGCCGGGCGCGCTCTCAATAATGCGGCCAAGAAGCGTAAAGGAGAAGAAAAACTGCGCACTCCGAGAGGCGCAGCAGCAAGAGCAGCAGCTTTACTGCGGCTCACGGGGAACGACGCGCGCCCTCTGCGTCGCTGTTGCGTATGGCAGCGCGGCGGGGCACATTGCAGCTGCAGCCGCCCGGCGCGCAGCCTGCGCAGCCTGCGGAGGACGTTGCGCCGGGTTGCGTCAGGTCAGCAGCTGCTGCTGACAGAGAGGCAGGCCGACGACGGGGAGGAGCAGGCGAGGCGGCGCCACGCCCTGGTCCGCGCCCCACAAAGGAGCAGCGTCTTCTGATAGCGACGATGATGCGACGACGATGACAACGCCTCCTCTGCCAGGACCATTCGGACGGCAGGTTGCGCCCGCCACCTGCCCGTGTCGAGGAGGAGGAGCCGTTCGTCCACGGCGATCGCGAGGAGCAATTCATCCCGCCATTCATCGCCATCCACACGTCAAAAATGCGTGGATTGGATAGCAGGGAGGTGGCCAGTTGTTGTCGCAGCTGGCGGTCGCTGCAGTGAAACAAGAGGATATCGCCCATTTGGAAACCTCTGGCGTCCTGTGAAATTTTATTTTATTCACCCTCGCTTGCGTCAAAAAGGCGGCGAGTTTGGCTCGAATGGAAGGGCGGGGCGGGGGAGTGCACGGCAACGTTGTCGAAACGGCAGGAAAGGGTTACGGGGGAGGGGGGGGAAGGCGGGCGGGGCGGGCGGCGCAGGCGGGCCGTCTGCGAACTGGAGTGGAGGCAGTGGAGGTCGCCCTCCGTCTGCACCTGCCCACCTGTCCTGTGTACTGTGTGTACTGCCCCGGCCGGCCGGGCCAACGGCTCCAGGCCAACCGACCAGCATTCGAGCGCCCGCGCTCTTCACACAGCGCACAGCGCTAAACAGCCCTGGGCGCCAAAGACGGGAATCGGGCGCGTCTGCAGATGAATAGTAATGTGTGCTCGAGATCGCACATGCCAGTCGGTCAAGTGGTCGCCAAGGGCGGCGGCGGCCGCGCTCGACCAGTAGTGTGCCGTGGCGGGGAAGACCGAAAGGGCGTATCATCAGGGGCTGTAGGGACGCTGACGCTGGAAGGTCTGTAGGGTGTAGGGTGATTCGGCACGGCGCTTCGGTACCTCGGTCACTCCTCGTCGCACTATGAGTGACTATGGCATGAGGTGGGAGAGAGCCCCTGTGTTGGATCGCCCCTCCCTGGAGCGAGCCCTGGAGTGTTTCTAAATTCTCAATCGTTTCGCTACGAATCAACTACGAATCGGTCGACGAATGAAGAAGGGGAGGGGAGAAGGGGCTGTCACTTTTGAACCAGACTCTTGTCACTAAGTACGCGCCAACTATTACCAACCTAATATTACAGGTTGCTGACAGGATTTCTTTTCTTCACGCGTGTGTATGCTTTAGAAACCACCCTCAATTATATAAATTAAAACAAAATACAATACAGATTTACAATTTGTCTTGCACTTTAGAAGTAAAATAAATAAAAATGCAGTATTTTTTGTTGTTGTTTTTGTTACAGGTAAACAGTTGAATGTTTGTTGTTTGCTTGTGCTGACTTTGGCGCGCACTGGCATTCTCCGTCTCCGTCTCTAAGTCCAAACGCGCCTTGGAACGGTCGTAACCACATCGTCTGGGCGTCCAGTACTCGTTCAGCACGGTCTAGCTGATCTATCAGAGCTGAAGCTTGGCGCTATGGTAAGCGTTCGTCCGATTTTCCGACAGTGCCCCTCTCCCTCCCCTCCCCCTTTCAGCCGCTCCGCTGGGCGGCTGCCGGTTTATGGCGAGGATTTGTTACCGTTTTATAATATGATGGGGTCTATGACAACCGGCAGTATTACCTTCGCTTTGTCCTTTAAAGTAACTGAAACACAGGCAATGTATGCGGCCGCGTCCACAACAATGTCTTCATTAGTAAAGTCAGTACACGTCTTAACCACACCTAACCTGATAGTGTGACAAATAGATTATAACCATTTTTGAAGTTGAAGTGAAGAAGATGATTTCTTTTGTGACTCAAATATTTAGTTCATCTTCTTATGAGAGGCATGTAAACTCGGCGAAACCAAATGACTTATTAGCCTGATTGATCGGTGGTCGAGTTGAAAGCTACGCTAGGAAGAGTTTATTTGCAAATTTGGCTGTGCGCACATTCAGTTCTGTTCATACTGTTGGTCTTAATGTACCCAAATCAAAATTGACATTTCAGTACTTGAATATCAGAGTCAATTAGTGATATTTTATCTGCAGATAATTGGTCTTATCATTATTGTGATACCATGATCTGATTATTGATGTCTGCATTCATGTACACCATAATTTGTTTACTGACAAATACCCAGGTAGCAAGGCCTGCATTTCTTGCGCATTTTAAGCGCATAGGCGCATCAATGCGCCTTACCCATGTAGCAAGGCCTGCATTTCTTGCGCATTTTAGGCGCATCAATGCGCCTTCAAGACGCAGCTCTGCTACCTGGGTAATTATGAAAGTAAGAAAGATTGGTATGTTGGCTTGGAGCAGAGGCAAAACCAAATCTTCTATCCGTTGCCACCCAGCTCAACGGCTCTACTAAAGTATTTTGTTTAAAATGGCCCACACCAAAGTTGAGGCCGAAGCTCCAACAAACACAGATGTTACATTGGTGTGAAATTTGGGTATCATTATTGCAACATATGAGTCAGCATGATGGTATCAAAAGTCGATTGGTCAGCAACATAATACTGTTTCAATATTTTGATATCAAAGTCATAATAAAGACAACTCACATCAGATGTGTAGTCAAAATGGGGATTTGAAAATCATAATTATTGTACCAGAAAATAGCTCTCATATCAACTCTACGATAAATTCAGAAGAAATTTGAGGTTTTCACCATCATTGAACGTGGGCTAGTATTTTCCTTCAGAATGTATTGGGTTTGTTCCGGTTTGGTTTTGAAATGGAAAAGCAAGAGACGAAAATCCTTCGTTTTTGTCATTTTTTACATGTTTGAATCGTTTTTAAATCTTACTAGAATCAGTAATTATAAATGTTTAAGAGGGCTTTATTTTCTAAATTTTTTCTTATTGTAGGCCATTACCAAATTAAGATATCAAAATATCCTCCTAGACAAATATGTAGGAAGTAATGGAGTAAGCTGCAAATTTTTAAAAATCTTTTGAGGGCGTTTTCCTGATGATAGATTCCACTTTCATTTCCTCTTAATATCGAAAACAATGGTTTTTTTGTTCCCAGCTTGTCACTGAACCTGAACAAACCTTACATAATTATAAAAGTGGACATTTACCCCGCCGCTGATGGTTTGAGGGGGCAGACCTGTGAATTAAAGGGTTTGGGAAAATAGTCACTACATAAAAACTACATGCCGCATCAATTTAGGATTAAATGTGTATTAAGATGGACGTCAATTTTGCCGTTGGCGCCGGTGCGCGCCCTCTCCAGGAACATGCCCACCTTCACCTCCAACTGGACGATGCAGTCCTTTTCGGTGTGCACGATTGTGCTGCAACGGATTGGTCTGCGACTGTCAACAAAATTTGCTACTCATTCTAAAAAGATGCCGGTAGTGGTTAACCTGGGGGTTTTGCAAATGTTGAGATGGAAGTACTCGAAAAAAAAAAATCATTGCTGAAATACGAAAAAAAATGAAAATTTGTTTCGTCCAATGAGATTTTTTTCCAGTATTCCCATTTCGAAATTTGCAAAACCCCCAGGTCAACCACTAGCGGCATCTTTTAAGAGTAACCAGCATTTTTTTTTTGACCGTCGCAGACCCCATCCGTCCCACTACAATCGTGCGCACCGCGAGGGACTAAATCGTTCCAGTTGGAGGTGAAGATCGGCAGGTTCCCGGAGAGTGAGCCACTGGCGCCAACGGCAAAATTAGCGTTCATCTATGCTCATCAGGGGCGTAGGAACGTTTTTTGGCCAGGGGGGGACAGCTTATCTGACCTTTTTGGCGCCCCCTTACGGCGACTAGCGCTTTTTTGCTGATTGGGGCGCCAAAATCCCCGCGGGAAGAGGGAGGGGCGCCTCTTTGCGCCCTTTCAGGGCGCTTTCTGGCGCCCCTTCGGGGCGGGTTTGGGGCCTCTTCG